ATCTTTTTAAGTGGGAGAACTTGCACAATTGGTGGCTGACTAAATACTTTTTTGGCCCACTATATATCAGATATAAGGCCTTACAGGTAGTCTTCGGCTTACATCCATTCATTCAGCAACTGTTTGAAGTTATGGTGGTGCTGAATGAAGAGACTTTAAACCGGTCCCCAAAATTACAGCCGTTGCAGTGCCCCCCCGTCACATGATCAAAATTTGCATGCTTGGCAGGCTGCCCACACTTATGACTGCAGGGGTGCTTCAAATCCCCCCACCTGCCTATCTCCCCCATCTCTGCCCTTTTGGCCCCTTGCACTCCACAGCCCTGCCATCCTAGCTAACTTTTGCCGTCTTCTTGCTCCCACTGCTCACCAAGCATGCCCGGCCTGGCCCTTTGTGAGGCAGCTGCTGGCCGCACAAGGCTTTCTTCCCCAGGTCACACACGGCGGTTTCCTCACGAGACCTGGGGAAGATGGCCTCGTGTGGCCAGCAGCTGCCTCACAAAGGGCCAGGGCAGGCACACCTCATCAGCAGCAAGAGCAAGAAGACAGAGAAGATCAGATGGGGTGGCAGAGTACAAGTCGGCAGGAGTTTCAGTGCAGGGCAGCAAGAGCAGCTGGGCTGGGCAGCTGGGGCTTTCTGGGGTGGCTCTGTGCCACACTGCTCCGTGGCAGCTTCGCATCACGCTGCTAGGGCTTCCTGGGATGGCTAGGGTTTCTTGGGGCAGCTGCAGCTTTGTGCTGTGCTGCAGCTCAGAGGCTTCTTGCAGCCCCAGAGTCACAGTGCGCCAAGAATCCCTGAGCTGCAGCATGACAAGCAGACCCAGGGCTGTGCAGTTCTGGGGCTGCTTGCCACCCGACAAGGCAGGGTGCAGGCCAGCCAAAAGAGCAGAGATGGGGGGGAATCAGCAGTTGGGGGGAGGTGAAGGGATGCAATCCCTTACCTTGGAGGAACTGAGGGTCAGGGCTGTTGCACTTTACAACTGCATCACTTAATGATGGAAATTCCAGTCCCAATTGTGGTCGTAAGTCAAGGACTAACTGTAGCAAACATATTTATGAGCACAGCCTAAATGTTCCTGCCTTGTTTTCAGATAAGCTAGCTTCCAAAACATTCCTGAATCTAAAATATAACCCAGGAGGTTTCGTGGTCAGAGATAATGCCAATCTCTGGTACAACCTTTATTATCCCAAATCTTTTCCAAAAATAAATCTTTTTTTCTATTTTTCATAGAACAGTGATTTGCATGATAGAACAGGCCATAAAATACCAAATAGTTGAGATTATCCATAGCTTTGATTTGAATTTTGATAGCTAGGCATTTCTTTAGAATGCTGATGTTTTAGATATAGCTATTTGTACCTTTCTCCATCAACGAAGTCCTTTCTCAATTCCTAATTTCATGCTAAATGGTGCCTGAGAAATGGCCAAGAAAAATAGGTCAGGACTGAATCCAGACAAGATAAAAGCATTGGTGACCTGGAGACAGTTGGCTAGCATTTTAATTTGGGTACCTCTCTAGAGCTAGTGGTGCTTATTCAACTGTCATACTAGTAAATTATGTTTAATCAATCTAATTAGGTATGAACTAGTTTAAGCCGACAAAAAGAACTGAAAACAAATGTATTCATTTGTAACTTCGCTGATTAGTTATTTATTTTACATGGATCTACCCTGAATTGGTCCAAAACTACAGCCTCCTATTTCCTGACAAACACTCCTTCCTAATTTAGTTCAAAGGATTGTTCAAGAAAATCTTTGAAGTTTAGAAAAGCTCCTTCTCTGACATGTTGAAAAAAATACTTTGAACTTTTTCTTGGCAAATTTAAAAGGGTACATTGGAGTTTCTTCAGTGGTGGCTTCCACACTAAAACTTGCTACTCAGAGTTAAGTCCAAATGAACTTGAATCTAAACATCTTCCAAAAATGTTCCAAAATATTGTTATTCACTCAGTTTTCCAGGAGGGTTATATAATTTTGTTGAAAAGATATTGTGTAAACATAAATAAAATTAAGCTGCTCTATTTGCTAGTAGATTCAATGCTACACTGATACTTGATTTTAATATGTTCTTTTAATACATGTCATGGAAATCATCACTAATTTTAACAGAAGGTAGAACATTAAAAAACTGACAAGCCCTAATATTAGTCTATGATGTTCATATAAAATGATGCCTGTTATCATAGTTACTGTTGAATTATGTTAGCCATTTCATTATTCTTGCCAAATAAACAAGGGAAAAGGAGAGGCAGATGACAAGTAAAATCTCACGCTGAAACTTCTATGTTGTAAATAGCTTCTGAGGCTTGCCAAAAAATATAATTTTTTCATTTGGATAGAAAGAGAAATTATTCTAGCCTCATAATGCTCTTAATTCTGCTTATCAAATGTTTTTATTGGAATAGAGTTACTGCTTTAAAAATATCTTTACAATTTAACTATTGATTTGTGCTTCTACAGATTTTTTATCCTGAATAAGAACTATTCAAAAGAACACAACATAGCACAACATTCTGATCAATTCTTGTCAAAGAATATTTTATAAATAAAGTCTTTTGTACTGGAAAGTAACTTTAAAAAGAAAATGAAAATAATATAGCAAAAATATTTACATTCATTCTCAGGTCTTAAACACTACCATAAACATTTAAGTTCAATAGATGGTCTTTATAAATGACCTTTTATAAATCCTGAAATTCCTGTATATACAAACCTTGCATCTGGCAAGCATTTTTTTAGCCAGATCTATGAATGCTTCTTTTCTTTCTGTTTCTAAGGCATTATTGAAATTCTCAATGAATTCTTCATTAAGTTCAAGTGGATTTCTAGAAAGGTACCCGAAAAGAATGTCAAATTAATTGGATAAAAACATAGAATTAACCTTCCAAGTATAAAAGAAAAGAACAGAAAGCTTATTTAATTTTAAAAGATCCATTTGAGTTAAATTGCGGAACATTAGTCTTTAACACATAAAAAGACTATCTGTTGCTGCCTCAGTTTTACAACAAATTTGATAGCTTCTACAGACTTGACAATTCTGTCTTGGTAAGATTAGCAGATCAATGTATCTATGTGACACTGCTCTTCCACCTAGCTTAAAATGCTGGTTTCCTACACTGGAAATGAATCTATCTTAAGAAATTGCTATTCAGAGTTCAATCTGTTCTTCAGCTTTGGCACTGATATTGGCCAGGTTTTGGTCTAGATGGAGGTTACCAAAGCTCCCAGCTGGTGGATTCCTGTGCTTCTTTATCATTTCGACCTTGCAAGTCATCCTTGGTTAACGACAGCAATTGGGACCGGAATTTCCATCGCTAAGTGATGCAGTCATAAAGCGCGATATCACATGACCATGCTGCTTAGCAATGGTAGTTCCAGCACTTCCAGTTGCTGTTGTTAAACAAATCCCACGCCATCATTAAGCGCAATGTCATATGGTCACCACTTGCAACCTCCTGCCAGCTTCCCCATTGACTTTGCTTGCAGGAAGCCAGCAAAGAAGGTTGCAAATGGTGGTCATGTGACCATAGGACATGACGATGTAATTGCAATCTGGGCGCTGAGCACCTGGATTGCAATCCCGTAACTGCGGGGACACTGCAGCGGCCAGAACTTCAAGTACAGGTCATAAGTACCACTTGTTCAACACTGTTATACGTTTGAACGGTCACTGAACAAATGGTTGTGAAGCGAGGACCACCTGTACTAGGAAAACAAGAGCCAGTCACTTTCCTTCTGAAGGGTGGGTCTTTGAGATTACATTATTTCCACTGACACACTTTCTGTATGAAGTGTCTATCGCTGTCTCTCCCTCGTAAACTTATTTCTACTGGAATATGCTGAGGGTATCAGTTTAAGCTATCTCAGCATGACTATGAAGCACTGTCTGCCCAGAGTTAGCAGCTCATTTGGAATTGCTGAAAGTGGGTATTTGAGTTAGAGTCATGAAAGCTATGAGATCACCAATAAGCTTTTCCTGCTACAGGCATTTCCACTGCTACAGGCATTTCCACCTTAAGTCTTTGCCCAACTATTTTCCAAAAAAAGGAGAATTCAATGCCTATGCAAGTGCCAAATGCAATTAATTTCAAATCTCTTCCAGGATAAAAACTAAGTGAGTAGCTGGAGCCACAAACATACAAACATCCCAGGTGAAGGAAGAAGCATTATTGATTTCATAGAACCAAACAAAAATATAAAGCCAGATTCCTATATGAAGCGGACACTTTGGGTGGGACAAATCAGTAAGAAGTGGATTGATTATGCAAAAAGATTGATTGGTAAGTATGCCTGAGAACCCAGACACTGACTTTCTTTTACATACATTTATAAATGATACTGTTATCATTAGGAGGCTGTTCTTATTCTCATCATTTTCTGAGGTTAAATGGGTGCTAGTGAACTGGAAAAGGGTTTTCTCAGTTCTAGCCTTCCATATCTCACATGTTTTTTCAGAGAGTCATCTAATATCACATTAATGCACTTATCAATGACATGCCACATGCTTCAACCATGTTATTTTGCCCATTTTGAGTTTTTTGTTTTATTAAATGTGTCCTATATTTTCTTTCCTTTTCTATAATTTCCTTTTTTAAATTTATTTTGCTTACTATTTCTTCTTATTTTTCGTCACTTTGCTTACACTGCTTACCCCAAAAGGGAATAAATAAGGTGATGGATCTGTAGGTGTGTCTGTATCAATTATGCTGGATTTTATCTACTGCTGTGTATTGACAGCTTTTGTGGTTATCACTGAGTTTCTGCAGTATTTGTTTTTATTAAACAAAGGAGCCTCCATGTGGCAAGTGTGGTATTTTTCTGGAGAAAAGTAAAACTTATATAGGGATATAAGTCTACCTTTTAGTTAAAGAGTATATATTCACTACAGAAAATATTCCGATATTTGTCATGACATATCAGATTTCGTGTAGTTATAATTAAGGAATCTCTTGAAAGTTTCAAGGTAAAACTATGACTTTTAATTTTTGTTTAATCAACTGTTTGACAGATATTGCTGAATAATTCATTCAGTTTTAGAAAGTTTTAATCAATAACTGTATTTGCAAAATTTAAATAACTGATAAATAGGTATACCAGAAACCAGGGACAGAACAGAATGTCTTTGAGAGGTAAAAATCATACTTCCTATTAGCAGCCTAAGAAAAAATACTAACTTACACAATGATACCTAGCTTCTTTAATCACTGTCACAGAAAAAAAGTAACTAGAGTACTCCCACATTTACAGTACATATAGTCCTCAGTTAATGACAGTAATTGGGACCGGATTTACTGTTGCTAAGCAATGCAGTCGTAAAGTATGATGTCACGTGACCGCATTGCTTAGTGACGGCAGTTCTGGCAGTCCCTGGTTACCATCGTTAAGTGAGGACTGCGCAGGTCATTAAGCAAGGAATTCACATGATCATGACTTCCAACTTCCTGCCAGTTTCCCCCTTGACTTTGCTTGTGGGAAGCTGGCAGGGAATGTCACAAATCACAATCATGTGACCACAGGGGCGCTGCACTGGCAGGAACTTCAAGGACCAGTCATAACTACCACTTGTTCAGAGCCGTTGCAAGTTCAAACAGTCTCTGAATGAGTAGTTGTTAAACAAGGACCACCTCTACAATGCCACTAAGTATGTTACATCAGTGGTCAGCAGAAATATATTGATTAAACTTATGGTTAATCATCATACTGTTTACAAGCTAATGACATTACTTCATGGAATGCATTTTTATAAGAAATAACCATTAATAATTTATGCATCTATCTATATCTACTGCACTAAGTATATATTTGCTAGGAAGTCATCATTGTATCAAGCTACAACATATACTATGATGATATACTGTAAAGCACCTCTGTGAAGGAATTTAATTATGCATGAAATAATCACTCTCCACAGCTATAGTTCTTGGAATAACTGCTAATGAAAGACATAGGATGCTATGAACTCTTCATAACATGTATACAGTATTCTTCTTATATTATAAATCTACCAACTGACAGCAATATATTTAAGATAGACATATGGATTTCATATATATATTGGTAACTATATCTGGGCTGAAAAAGTCCAGATGACTAGTAGGTGGCAGCAAAGTGTTAAAGGTTTCTGTATCTCTTTCATCTCATCTGCTTTTTATATAATTATTTATTGCATTTACATTCTGCCACAATCAAAAACAACTCTCAGTGGTATACACAATATGACACTAAAATATCCAAGGTACAAATTAAAACCTCTAAAACAAAGTAATATAAAAAACACACAAACTAATCAATGAAAAGAAATTGATGGCAAGATCTAAGCTAAAACACTCTACAAAATAACTTAGTTTTTAGCATCTTCCTAAGTGCAGTAAGGGAAGGGGCAAGTCTGATTGCAGGTGGAAGGCTATTCCAGATTATACCTAGTGGTTGCCTGGATTTGCAGGCTAGGTATGATAACCCTAATCAACTTCTGATTTTATATTATATAAGCTACAAACGGGGACGCAGTGGCACACTGGCTTAATGAAGCTGGAAGTTGTTGGCCAGAAATGGTCAACACTTCAGTGGTTCGAGCCTAGCTCCATGCAGCAGAGTGAGCTCCTGTCTCATCCCTAGCTTCTGCCAACCCAGCAGCTCGAAAGCAACCGTGAGTAGATAAATGGGTACTCTCACCCTGGTGGGAGGAAAAAAGCTGGCAGCGTCTTGTACGGGAGACGGGACCAGTTGCCGGTAACAAGGAAGTTGCGCACGTCTGAAAAAGACGCGAAGCAACAGAAACCCCGCCTTCCTGCGCCCACCAGCTGGGCTCCACTCTAGGAAGGAGGCAATGGCAAACCACTTCCGAAACATCTTGCCGTGAAAACTGCAGGGACTCATCCAGGCAGTCACTGCAGAATCAGTCACGACTGAGTGCAGATTAAAAAAAAAAAAAGCTACAAACAGATCTAAAAGGTATTAAGATATTAAGATTCAAGTCACTTTGTCAAGAACATGAGGTGTAACTCATTATTTAAGTAACATTACTACCCCCCCAAATTGTAATTTATCCAAGTAATCTTCTGTTTTCTTTATTTTTCTAGAAGTAGGTGTCACAGAAATTAATCTTTACTAGTTCTATCAAGAAAATTAATGGCATATAAAAATTCCATTTAACATGATGATAGCAAACCTTTAAAATCAGAAAACAATTTTTAAAATATATTTAAATTAAACTGACAGGACATTGCTGAAAATGACTCACAGATGAGATGCAATATGGATTCCAGGAATAATGGATAATGGATATGGACAGATGGGCAGATACTCCAGGCACACGCCATGGAGTAAGAGATCCCTGGGGGAAAAAGCGGTGGGAGCAGGAGCAACTTACAGGAATGATTTGCAAACTTCCCTGCTGGCTTCCCCATTGACTTTGCTTGTGGGAAGCCAGCAGGGAAGTCACAAATGGTGATTACATGACTACGGGATGCTGCAATCATTGTAAGTGCGAGCCAGTTGCCAAGTGCCCGGATTGCAATCACGTGACTGCGGAAGTGCTGGGATGGCCAGAATTTTGAGGACCGGTTGTAAATACAGTGCTGTTGAAACTTCAAACAGTCACTGAATGAGTGGTTGTTAACCAAGGACTACCTATACAGGAATGCATTAGCATATGCTGAAAAGGCAGAAGTGAAGTCATGTCCCACACTATCATGTTGTACACTGAATCTTTCATTTTCTACATTTTGATGACATCTTATTTAAACTTTTGCAAAGTGTCTAGCTCAGTTGCTCTGTTGCTTAAGATATGGGTTGATAACCCTGAAAACACTGAATGTATAAATACTGCTTCAATTATCAATATTTAAACTTACCTACGTGCTTTTATCTTGAGATTAAGCGAACTTTCTTTCAGATATTTAGTCAAGAGTCTCTGATTAAGCTTTTTGTGCTCATCATAGGACACAATGCCAAAGTTATAATGTACTGGCACTTTTAAAATGGGCATAGTGCTGTAAATTCAGTCCTAAAAAAAGATTACAGCCAAAAAGAAAGATTACAATTTCCTTTACAAAACAGAGCTTTAAAAGTTTTTTAAGAACTTTAAAACAATAATCTGGATATTTTAGGAAGGAAAATGCAATTTAAAAACTTACGTTTTTATAGTACTCTACTTAGAAAACAACTTAAACTGCATTTATGTTTATAAATTATTCATTATACAATAGCTAAAATAAAATTACAATAAGTTACACTATTTACATCCACAAAGCATAATTAAGTTGAATTGCATTTGTATTCATGCCAAATTGTTCAATTTATTCCAATCCTTCTATTTCAAGATGATTACTTCTTGATCAGACAGTTAATTAGCCACTACACCAGATTAGCTTAATATTTAATTTATCAATTTAAATGTTATTAATTATTGATATATGGTAGGCAATATATTATATATATATTGTATATATAATATACAATATATATATTGTATTAAAGTATATAATGTATATATACAATATATATATTGTATTAAAAGTTTTAAAAAGAAGATAAAAACTAATAAAAGCTAGTATAAAGAAAGGAAAGGAAAAGAGAAAGAAAAAAGACAAAAGTGCAAAAAGATAAAAAGCATCATAAAGAAGAAGCTTCTGACTTTCTTTGCAGCAAATAGAAGTATGGTTATAAAATTATCTCTTACTCTATGGTTACAAAAAGAAAAGCTCTCTTTTTTCTATTATCTAGTTTTTTTCTAATCATACAAAACCACAAATCTTAAATTCATAAGTTCATTTTTTTCAGTTTCATGCAAAAAGTCTATAAGGGGTTTCCAATCAGCAATAAATGTAGATACTGTCTTTTCTCTAATCAGGGAAGTCAGTTTAACCATCTCTGCAAGTTCCATCATCTTCACCAACCATTCCTCCATTGTGGGTAGTGCCAAACCTTTCCACTTTTGAGCATATAGTAATCTCACTGCAGGTTTATCCATTTTCAATCTAGTATTAAAATACTGCTGCAGAACTTGAACCCTTGTCTTTTTCCTAACAAAATGCACCAAAATATCCCTTGGAACATTTCTTGTTCTGGCAAATCTATAATTTATTCTATAAATTTTAACAATTTCTGTCTTCACATCTTCCTCTTCCCAATCCAGAAAATTTGCCAAGATTTCAATCATCCTTTCTCTAACATCTTCATCAGAAACCTCTGGAATATCTCTAAATCTCAAACAAAATTCTCTCTCAGTTCCACTAAAGCCAGAATATCTAATTCTCTTTCCAACTCTCTAACTTCTGTCTTATTCTATAAAATTTCCACTTTATCACTGATTTGTTTTACCTCTCCAGATATTTGCTTTACAGAACTTTCCATCTTTATAATTTCTTCTTTCATCTCCTCTTTCATCTTTGCAAGTCTTTCATCCATTCGTTTTTCAAAAGCTTCTATCTTATTGCCCATCTGTTCAAATAGTTTCTGAAACAAATCTGGTATAACTGTTTTCTCTGCAGGCTGCTCTAGCAATCCCCTCCTGCCCTCTCTTGCCATTTTTCTAGTAGTTGCTATTATATATTATAATCCACAAGTGAAAGTATCTCAAACAAACAAAAGGAAAAGGCAAGCTTCTCCCCTTTTTTCCCCTTCTTTTATCTTTCTGTGACTTTAACACTTTTGTCTCTAATGGATTTCCATAACTTCAAGCCACATCACAAACCACATCACCATAGCAACAAAACATCAGTCTAGTTCATTATCTTAACTTTTGTTATTTAGAGTCTGCCAATTAGATGGACTCTTTAACAATAAACAAAAAGCATTCCCAGAAAGGTCTGATCTCTTTAACTAGTTTAGTTCAAGTTTATGCCAAAGCATTTTGTCAAAAAATAAAAGTAGGAAAGTTGGTAACGACTGAGTGCAGATTAAACAAACAAACAAAAAAATTGTCCCCTTTCTCTGTTTTAAAACTTTCTTTTCTTTGTTAAGTTTTTTGCAAAAAAAATCTTGAATCTTTAAATCCTTAAAGTCTCTTTTTATTTTTGTAATCCTGAAAGAAGGTTTAAGTCACCGAAAGGAATCTTATGTTTGCTGCAAAGGAAGTCTCTCTACATCTATAGATTAATTATTTCCCAAAGTGATTATCCATATAGGCTTTATCACAGTTGTGAGCATAGATGGAATTCCAGGACTTCTGGCTGTTCAACTCCTGAGCCAACTGCAAAATCTACCGTTTCTGCCATTTACTCACAAGGAGCAGCCATCCAGAGTACAAGTGGGTTATCTCACGATCTCTCTTTGATCCAGAGAGATTTCACAGGCCAGCATCTGCCTTCCAGCCTGCATTCTCAGCTGCGGTGCCTCTCCACTCCTTCAGAGACATCAGCTTACCGTAATTCCTCACCAGAAGCTCCAGTAGACAATATAATATCAAAGAATTACAATATCTACTACTGTGGGCAAGAAACTCTTAGAAGAAATGGAGTTGCACTCATAGTCAATAA